ACCCCCTCTCTCTCGAGCCCTTCTTTTCGACTCTCATAAAGTGCTACCTCGTCGTGGTGAGAGTCCCTAGTAAGCAGTACCTCTGGGCTCTTAACGCCACTACTGCTGAAGCTAAAGGCACTGAACCCACTTCAACTAGTGGACACTTGCCATGACCTTTGCAAATCACTCCACGACAACAGTCCTACCGACCAACCCGTCAAACACGCCCAAACACTAACTCCACACTTGTTAACGCATGCTTGTTCATTTTCTTCCAGATATGGCACAACAGACGTCAACCGTAAAGAAGCCAAACTACAATCGGCACTTTCCGAGAAGTTTTATGTTAAATTACGAAGCGGTGCTACAGGACCTCTCAGACGAGAAGATCCTGTCGCGATTGAAGGACTTCAACTGTGAGTGGCTGTCACGACCGAACTTTGCCATTTCGGAGATGGCGCAGACCATAAAGGACAACTGGCCGCTCACAGAGAAAAACAGTGGCAAAGTCTTCACACGAAAGTTTGTCCAGGACCTCGGCGAAGTCATCCTGCCCCTGATGGATAGTACGCCAGGTTCGATAACAAAGACAACTCCACACACGACCCGCCTACACATGACGACGTCCTCGACGCGCTGGAAGTGGTAAACGTCAATCCCGAAGTGGAAGAGTTAATGGTCACTGGCCTCAATGTCTTGATGACCAGCATTCAGATGCTGGCCCTCAACTCCCTCCCACACAACGTCACCAACTTCGCCACCGAGGCAGTGAGGAGTCCCGCCACCGAGGACTTCAAGGCCAACCCCAATAAAGACACGATGATGAACTACTTGTTCAACTTTATTCTCATGAAACGCCGGGCAGTGAAACGGCGGACATCGCTCTATGACCGCAGCCGAAGGCCAGCACCATTGCCCAGCCCGGAAGAGGACGAGCCTCAACGAGCCTCTTGACCAACCCGCCTAGACTTTTCGCTCCTTTTCGCAGTCTTGGCAGCAAACTGGCTAATGGCGAAACCTCGCCGTCCAGGACGAGGATGTCAACAATGAAGAGGAGGACGAGTTGGCCCCTTTATTTCGCCGAAGAACATCCACCCCCACATACTCTTTCAGCAGCAGGGGGTCGCAAAGGCGACGATCCGCCATAAGCCTTGACTCTGCGATAGACGTGGAGGAGCACCAGCAGTCTGATGACGAGGTAGAGGACCTCCCCAGACCTGCAAGGAAGACACAAAGACAGGTGCCTGCCGCCACAGTCACTACTGTGGAGCCAGTGGTCTCACCCGCCGCAGACAACGAGGTTACTGGCAAAGCCGACAAGAAAAAGCAGAAAAAATGCTGCCGCCAGGCACAAGTGGAAGACGAGGAGGAAGAAGTCATCCAGCAAAGCCTACCCCAAAAAAAGAAAAACAAGAACAAACAAAAGTACACGGGGGCCTGGCTTGCCGATTTGGCGATCAGGACCAGGATCAGGACCGCCTCTACCAGAACCTAAAGAAGACCAAAATGGCACATGTTTGAACATTTCTTGAACATTTCATTTCTTGAACATTCCTTGAACTTGAACATTTTTGAAACATTTTTGAAAGTTTGACTATTAGATAGGGGAAAAAGACGTTTGAAATTTCAGTTGGGCACTTGGCCACTATTGCTGTAATAGGACAGTCAGATTAAAAGTTACGCATGTCTTACAAAAAGAACAGTGTGGCCTCCATTCTTCCAAAAGTTGCTTTTCACCTGTCCATCGGGGTGGTTACTTCCTGTCAAAAGCAAATGATCGCCCTCCGTTGGGTCATCCCCGAAAAGGTGTTTTGGGTCCTGTGCCATTGCTTGATGACCGGTCCAAGGGGTGCCCAATCGCCGAAAGGGTAAGAAGCGGTTTTAAAAGACCCTAAAACAGGGTGGACAGGGGTGGTTAGGTTCGGAAGCTAAGCTATAGTCGAACAAGGTGCACGTTATTACCCCCCATCGTTGCATGCCAGGTCCCTCACCACAGGATATCGAATCTTCACTAAAAGATCCTCTGGTGATTTCGACCTTAAGTCGTCTTAACGTCATATAGTTGTGGTAAATTTTATGACGCATCAAAAACGACCGAGATGGCTTTGTTTCATGTCTGGCATTTCAAGCCCTTTTGACGCCTGACGCTGCAACTTGCAGGAGCTGTTGACTGTTCGATGTTGTACAACTTGGCTGAGTTGCGTGCCCGTATGTCAAATGTCACGTGACTTATTGCCGCAGGAAAACCCCATCTCGAGTTTGTACCCTGTTTTTGACCCTTGGGGAAAGTCCCCCCGGTTTTCAGATTTCGTTCTCCAGCTAGCTTTTGGGCCGAAATGGCCACAAACCAAATTTGGCTTTAAACCGTTAAAACCCGGGAGGGCTGCCCCCCAAAATGTGTTTTTTCCCCTGTTTCGCTCTTTTTCCGAGATGCCTTTGTTTCACTTCTATATCTTTGTTGCCTTTTACTCCTTAGGCGTCAAACTTGGCAGGCTGCTTGTTTGGTCGATGGTTGACAACTCTGCCAACGGCCAAGGTCACGAAGAAAACTCACGTGAGTTATCGCTCTCTTAAAACGTGATCTCGGACCACTTATTTCCCCCCCGGATTTCACCCCCCGTTTTCCAGATTTCGTACTCCAGCTAGCTTTTGGTCCGTAATGGTCACACACCAAATTTGGCGTGAAACCGTTAAAACCGGGGGGCTAGGCTCGAAAATGTCTTTTCCGCTATTGGCGCATGCGCAATTACGAGTCCCTTCTTTAAGGTGCATTGGGGCCCCCGTACAGAGGATCAACGACTCCTCAGTCTATTTGAGATCCACTGTGGCGACTATGTCCGAATATTTAACGGCTATCGTCAGAGAACGGAACCGTTTGGCATATCGTGGTGCAAACAAATGGTACAACAGAAGATTTGTGTTGTTGAGGATCCCTCCAGACGAGCATTCCTCCAGCAAGTGTACGACCTGTTGCTATTGAAGGAAGACAGCTCTTACTCCCGTTTCATCCTTATGCATTTCACAGGCGAACGACCACTATTCCTGTACGAAATCTTTTCCTCTCCACTTTACCGTGGTGTAGAGTGCGCTCTGTGGCCTGCCGTCTACCACACCACTTCCCTCTGTGAGAGTATACTCGAAGGACAGGACAATCGTGCTAGTGGGAAAATCGCCTTTATGCACAAGCTTTTGTTACCCGTCCACGACTTTTCCATCCATTTTGAGATCTTACAGTACCAGTACAACCGGTGGCTGTTAAAGACCATTACTGGTGCAGTGAATACCTCCAAGGCCTCCGGTTGCTCGCCCAATTGCAGCTTGGAAAACAAATCATTTTCGAACACCTTTTGGCAGCATCAGAACCTCTATGTCATAGATGCAGTGGTTATATGGTTATCCTTCATTCTTCATCACTATTAGTCCTTACCAATGGACATTTCCTTTCCCGCCGTTTGTCGACGAAATGAGAGGCCGCTATTTCAAGGACGTCACCGATATCTCGACCATTGAAACCCTCCATATCCCACACCTGCTGGAACAAATCGCCCGGCTAACCTCACTTGTGGAAATTGCAATCGATGGCAAACAAATGTATTCACTAATCTCCAAGACCCAACTTCCAAGAACTTGGAAACATTCTTTTACCGCTTTGAGTTCCAGAAACGCAGCACTCTTCATCTTCATATTCTCGTCTGGGTAAAGGACATTTCCGCCACCAGAGCAGATCTTCTTTATGCGTCAGTGCCCTGGGGAAACGCAAGAGACGCGTTCACCGTAGCATCCATCCAAAAATCTGACAAGTCGTGTCTACCCGTTTGTCAGTATCCGGATTCCTTCATCACTGAACGTAATGGAAGACATCCCCTTCAGTTTCAGCACACTGAAGATGACGCTGAGCGACACATTTGGGCGTATGTCACCACCTTATTGGGATCCCTCCATTGCAAAGGCCTGTCTTCTCAAATATGTGAGCAGTTACGTCACAAAAATGCATGAAAGCGCGACGTCTGAGGGTCTATACTGCACAGATGTCACTGGCTACCAGGCCACCCATTCCTTCCTTCGTACTGTAAAACCCCTCGAACCGGAGATGGTCTTTCAGCTGTCCAACATCAAGGTCTGCTGGACGGACAAGTACACAGTGTTGTTCAGGCCACTATTTCCGGATCAGACAGACGGAAACAAGGTGTACAAAATGTATCTGCAGCGACCGCCAACTGAAGAGGACCAGACTCTTTTACAATGGTTAACGTGCCACCAAACATCTGGCTCAAAGCCCAAAGGATACACCGACGACCGCGTCCTGGTGGGCATCAAGTACGTCTCCCTCTTCAATCCCATATTCTTCTACCAACATTTGACCATGAATTTCCCGCATTGCAACGCCAACCAGTTGAGACATGCTGGGGAAGACACCATGCCTGATACCATCAAACATTTTGCACAATGCATTGCCTTGACCCCCCAATACTGGGACACAGCGGAGACCATAACAGCTGAATTTGAACACGAGGGACATAAGTCTTATTTCATCAACACTATCGTCTCTTACGCTCAGTCACTTCATGACATTCTCTACCTTTGGCGTATTCGTGTCGTCACTAATAAAGTTGGGGACCTCTCCTCTCTCTCTTTGGAATCCCTCTACCCGCTTTCACCACATCAAACCGCCATACTCACAGACATCACCGCCACCCTTTCCTCCTGCCAATCTTCTGTGTCCGACGACAACAATTCTGCCGCGTCTGACTCCACCTGGCAAAAATACCGCCTTCTTTTCGGGAAGCCTGGCACAGGCAAGTCACAAGTACTCATCCGTGCCATTTCTCACGCCATCTGCCATGGACTGTCAGACCTAGTAGCCGCTCCATAGCCTTGCTGGCCCAAGGCTTTGACTCCATTTTCTACGAAGACGTGACCACCGATACTCTTCATGGTGCTTTCAGCATGGGCCTTACCCGAATGAAATCAACCATCGCATTAACCAGTATGACCTGATTGTCGTCGACGAGGCGTCGATGATCTCCTCACCCATCTTTGGAGTAATGGCCTCCACGTTTAATCGGATGAACCTTCGCCCCGCTGTGGTCCTGGCAGGTGACAAGTGTCAGCAACAACCACTGCAGATCGTCAACGGCCACATCACATCCACCACCTCCATAATCAACGACAACGCCACCTTCTCTTCCTCTAACGCAGTAATTCATCGCTTACACCAGCAATTCCGAATCGTCGATCCCGAATATGCCGCGTTTCTGGACCTCATACGGTTCATCTGTTCCACCCAAGAGCAGGTGAACAAAATGCAGGACGGCATTGTTCTTTGCCCTGAAGGTCAGCTCACCGACCGTCAAATCTGGAAAGCCTTCCAGAGCCATCCCAACAGCACCGTTATGACAGTCTCCCGCAAAGGAGCGCAACGCATCAACACCATCGTTGTGGGCGAACTATTTCAGGGATGCCCTCTCACCAACATCCCCTGCGGCTGTGTAGCGGACTCTCAGCCAATCTTCCCGCACAGGAACATGCGCGTGATCTTCACGGAGAATCGCGATAAGGCCTCCCGTGTCGTCAACAGTCAACAAGGCACCATCACATCCTCTCAAAATAATACTATCATCCTCCGTCTGCCTGAAAGACAACAGGTTTTCGTGTACCCAGTCACTCACATGGAGAACGATGCCCCAGTCCCACGTTACCCTTTTACGCCAGACTATGCCTAGACCATCATAAAGGCTCAAGGTCAAAACATTCAACATCTCGTCATCTGGCTGGACTCAGTGTTGGTTCCAGCCGGTACTGCCTATGTCAGCCTCTTAAGAGTGAGGAGGAAATCGGCCATCTCTTTGCTGCAGCCCATCTATGCAGACCAACTAACGGCGGTGCAGCTCTGAAGAGGCCACCATATTGACCAATATCTCACAATAGTCTCGCTTCTCATATTACACAATTGCTCAGAGCCCTACACTGGTTACCCGTAGCATATCGAATTGTTTTTAAAATTTTATAGTTAACTTTTAAGGCCATTCATAAACTTGCTCCGACTTACATTTCAGAACTTGTATCACCGAAAGACACAGGGGGTAGGTACTATCTTAGATCAAATAACGGCAAACTTCTTAACATTCCACCATGCGTCTCTTTCCACGCTTGGTGATCGATCTTTTTATATGGCTGCCCCTAAATTATGGAACGATCTTCCCCTTTTTATTAGAAATATACCTTCAGTTAATGCTTTCAAGAAGGCTCTTAAAACTCATTTATTTCAGAAGGCGTTTCCCAGCTAATTTATTGTTTTTTATTCTCTTTATTAAGAAGGATTTGTATATAGGATTTTAAAGGTAAATTGTTATTTTAAATTTTTATTTTTACTCATTTTTAGGAATGATCTGTAAATTTGGTTTTTGGAATATGTACTAGGATTTTAGGAGTTTGTTGAGTCAATGTTATGCACAGATGAAAATTTCTTTCCCTGGATTGATATTTGCGCAATACAAATCAATAAATATTATTAATATTATTATATTAACTATTCTCTTCTTTTCTCTCCACATCATGCAGTTCTTCCTAACTCATAAATGACCATCCTGCTTCGTTTTGCTATTCCAACGCTCTATCTCTTTTCTAAGAACAGACAACAACAAAACTTGCTATCTCAGCTGAAATTTCTCTGTTTTTCGAGTGTTGTTCACCAGAACAACACCCTCCTCTGGCGATTTCCAAATGGAAAGACGACGATCACCTACCCAGTTACCACCACCACCGAAGACGGGCGCAGTAGAGTGCACCACGCGCTAAACTCGGCATACTGCATGACCATCTGCAAAACCCAAGGCGCTAATATCAAAAAGCTGATCGTGTGGTTTGATTGCCCTACTGTGCCCAGCGGGATGGGATACGTCGCTCTCTCGAGGGTACGTAAGAGTGAGGACATTAAGTTCATGACGCCAATGGTAGCTGACCAGTTGACCCCAGCATTGACTTCAAGCAACCACTTATCAATACCATCAGTTACACGAAGCACGTGAATGTTACACTGTTCTTGTTCATACTGAGTCTCCTTTCCAGAACCTTTGGGATGCTGAGCTTCTGAGAAACCCAGTGGTATTACTGGATTCACACCATACCAGTAACCCCTTTCCTCAACTTCCGCCCGCTATCCATAGCGACCTGTTGTCACCTAGCAGCTAGGCAGAGATACACATAGCCTATAAAGGGCCACTGATGCCCCGCCAACGTACAATCTCACCCGCAATTCCTTGTTGCAGCTATGTCACGACGCAATCAGAATCCGTGGACGCCCGAGGTGAAAACGGGTGTTAACTATTTCAAACACTTGACCAAACATTTCCTGACGCCCTACGGGGTACTAACATCGCGCGAAATCCTGGATAAGCTCTTCTTCTGGAATTGCGGGTGGCTCACAAGGCCTAACTACGCCATCAGCGAACTAGGAGACACTCTCTATTCCAACCTTGCAGCCCTCGCCAAATAGAGAGAAAAGGTCTTCACAAGGCATGCGGTTGACCCTCTGCTCAACAAGGCGAGACCGATTAGAACCGTTTTACAGAGGTTAAAAAAAGACTCCGCAACAGCGGAAGAACCAGATGAACGAGATCTTGCAACCCTAATGAAATTTATTGAGGATGACACCCTCAAAGGCCTCTCCAAGCACTTATTCGCTCCATCGGGGGCTATGTATTCCATAGCGACCCACCTGATGACCCTCGAAACTCTCTTTAGCCACCCAGCTGAATTCGCTAAGAGGCACCACGAATCGCCCGAAGTACAGAGTTTCAAACAGAATCCATCTCGTGAGTCCATGGTGGCCTACATTGCTAGTCAAACACGAAGCCATAGCGAAATCGTACCCGAAGAGGAACAGGGGGCGAGTATCTGGGACGTGCTGACCCAAAGGAGTTCCACCAGAGAAGCACAACAAGCCGGTACATTTTGGGACGCTGTCCAAGAAAATGTTGACGACGACGAGCCAGAGTATGATTATGAGGACGACGAACAAGAGGAGACCATTGCCGCTCCAACTCGTAGAGGACCCCATCGGAACGTCTTAGACGATGAAGACGAGGAACACAATGAGGAGGAGGAACCCTTCAACACCCCGAAGTCTTCTGCCGAACATGCGCTGTTCATAAGCTCCTGAGCCCTACCATGAGCCGGGAACGCTCTCCCGGAGCCAAAAAGGCAAGGCCCCAGTGTCCCGGAAGAGACCAAGTTCAAGCACGAACGTCTGGGCCAGCTTCGGGCTCAGTACTGACCAACTAGGCACTTCGCCCCCGAATGCAGCACCCCCCGCTTAGAAAAGAGCATCCACTGGTCATGCCTGAGGAACGCGATGAACAACGAGGGGAACAACGCGGGCACGAGGAAGGGGCACACGTGGGAAACGCGGACAGCCCACAGCAAGGCACATTTACTTCGAGTAGAACCCAGCGAACAGTGAACTCTTGAATTGGCAAGTGATTTGTCTAACTTTTAGTTCTGTGGGAAACACTCATACGTGGTCCGTGATATAGCAGTAAGACGCCATCTAATGTACAACAGCACTCTATATACTTCGTCCACACAACAATCATCCTTTTGGCTACACCCTATTCAATAGTATTTTCATCCGGAACTACATGTTTCTAAACACTTGCTAATCGTTTCCTTTACTATGTCTCAGTATCACAAGTACAGGTCACTTCTCAGGAACCGGCCAGTTTTTCATATATAGAACCGTTGTTGTTCCTTACAGCGCTTTTGTCAAAAAAGACCATTTACACAGAACATTCCGACAAGACTCTTTCAACCACAATGCTCTTCACCTAACAGTCCTATTGGCTGCTCTACAGAGCCCAGTTTACAACTTGCACGATCCGAGCACCTTGAAAATCGGTTGTTTCTCGTTGGCACCATAAGTCTCTCCCGAGAGCATACCCTTTTCCAAACTCCGTTAGTGAAGAGCATTCACGGTGAAGAGGGTCTTTTCTGTCTTTTACCCGTTTATCGTTACGTTCTAGAGGACTAACGTCCTGACCATATGTTTAAACGTCAGCACGTCAGTAAGGATTCTCTTCTTTACAGCGTACCTGAAATACCTCATGCTGCGTTAAGTAGTTGCACTACAGATATTAGACTAAGATATGAGTTACACTAGCGTCACTAAAAACGCGTATAGCCGCTACTGCTTCACGCTTTATTGACTCTGTCACCACTTCGAGAGGTTTCTGCGTGTTTTCTTGCAGACCAACGTCCTCAACAAGTTTTCGGCGTCACCATTTCAGTAAGCACAATTGTGTTAGACGCACAGATAAAAGGCGCTCTATTCTATCACGTTTTGCGTTCATCCGTTTAACCAATATTTCCGTATTATTTGTTCTAAATTACTACACAAGTAGTATAGTACCCTAATGTTACTAAGAGATTTTAAGCCGTTCACATTCATAGTCGCCCACTTTTTGCTACTCTTAAAGTCTACTACAACGCAATCTGTTCTTGAAGTTCACAGAGAAAACAATGTCTACAGATGACAACTAAAGGATCGATAGGCCATGCTTTCACAGTTTGTATTCGTACTGAAAATCAAAATCAAGTGAGCTTTTACCTTTTTGTTGTACATGAGATTCCTGTTCTCATTGAGCTCACCTTAGGACAACTGCGTTATCATTTGACAGATGTGCAGCCCCAGCCAAACTCCCAACCTGACGGTGTCTTGGGCTTGGATCCTCCCATCCGGAGACAAGAGTTAAGTCCAGAACGTGGACCTCTCGGTCCGCTTCTACTTCACCCAATAAGTAAAAAACGATAAGAGTAGTGGTATTTTACTGGTGCATTGCTGCTCCCACTTATTCTACACCTCTCATGTCTTTTCACAAGGTCAGACTAGAGTCAAGCTCAACAGGGTCTTCTTTCCCCGCTCATTATGCAAAGTTCATTCCCTTTGCTGCGGTTTCGCTAGATAGTAGATAGCGACAGTGGGAATCTCGTTAATCCATTTATGCGCGTCACTAATAAGGTGATGAGGCATTTGGCTATTTTGCACGGGAAGGATTTGTCGAGGTAGACTATCCTTTACATATTCGCTCTATTTTAATGAGAGAGCTTGACACAGTGGGTCCGAACCTTCTTTCGAGGTTGATCCAGACATGAAAATGCCCTTCATGATGCAAGTACCGAAAAAGTGGATCGTCAAAGAGAGTCATAGTTACTCCCGCCTTTTACCCTCGCTTGGTTGAATTTCTTTTTCCCGAAGTCACGGATCTATTTTCTCGACTTCCCTTACCTACATTGTTCTATCAACCAGAGGCTGCTCACCTCGGAGACCTGCTGCGGTTATGAGTATGACAGGACACGAAAATCATTGTCTCCCGCGGATTTTCAAGGGTTGTCGAGAACGCACCGGACACCACAAGAAGTGTGGTGCTTTACCAGGCATTAAACCCTATATCCAGACAATCTGATTTTTAGGGTGAAAGGCTGTTAAAAAGAAAAGACAACTCTTACCGGGGCCCTGGCCGGCATCTCCGCGTTTGGTTGCGTTGCCGCACTTGCCACCCACGAGGAGTGGCAATATCCGTGTTCCGGTTCGGGAATATTAACCCGATTCCCTTTTGGTCGCTGACCCAAGATTGGGCACTTTGACACAGAGTTTCCCTATCTCTTAGGGTCGACTAACCCATGTCCAACTGCTGTTCACATGGAACCTTTCTCAACTTCGGTCTTCAAAGTTCTCATTTGAATATTTGCTACTACCACCAAGATCTGCACCAGAGGCCGTTTCACCCAGGCTCGCGCCAAAGCCTGTGTCACGACCACTGCGCCCTCCTACCCGCTGGGGCCTGACACCCACCCTGACGGCGAAGTATAAGTGCAACGCTTGAGTGCCATCCATTTTCAGGGCTAGTTGCTTCGGCAGGTGAGTTGTTACACACTCCTTAGCGGATTCCAACTTCCATGGCCACCGTCCTGCTGTCTATAGCAACCAACACCTTTTGTGGGGTCTGATGAGCGTCGACTTTGGCACAATTGGTGGTGCCCTTCCGTCAATTCCTTTAAGTTTCAGCTTTGCAACCATACTTCCCCCGGAACCCAAAAACTTTGGTTTCCCATAAGGCGCCAAAGGGGTCATCCAATAACACCCTCTGATCCCTAGTTGGCATCGTTTATGGTTAGAAGTAGGACGGTGTCTGATCGTCTTCGATCAAGCAAGCAAGCCGTAAACCAGTACCTCATAGACTCGATTCTTCAGAAACGGTGCACTGTCCAAAGAAGTGAAAACTTATGGGACAGATCGCTCTACAATGCTGCCAGATACCCTGCCTAAACAGAGGGAACCAAGCAGACGTCGCCGCCTAGACACTGAAGAGGACGATGAGTCCACTCCAGGGACCTCTGGAGAGCAAGAGCAAGAGCCTGGCAGGAAAACGTGGAAGGCAAGAGACGAGAAAAGCCTCCCCATTTAGCCCTCTTACAGAAGATCCTGAAGACGACGAGCCTACCCAGTTATATGCGCGTCAATCAGCAGACAGGAGATCCCGCACAATTGAAAGACAAACAGCAGCACGCCATCTACCCACAACTTTCGAGGATGAAGAGGAAGAGCTGGACCAACACCCTCGTCAGAAAAACAAGAGACCTCTTGTAGGGCCACCGACCGCTAAGAACAAGGTGGCCCGAAAGGCCCAGCAGACCAGAGACACGGATTCCAATAACGAGGAGGACCACCCTCCCCCCAAAGACAAGACGGGCACCAAACCAGCTCCCAACATACATCGCAAAAAGCTGCCGACCGTCGTCTCAAGTGACTCCGATCTCGATGACGACCAGCTGGGGATCACGCCCAGAACCCCACCAGAAAGCCCGTTGTACAGAGACCCCGCAAACCGCACAACTGCAGCTGGAACGAGCAAAAAGAACACCGCGCCTTCTACCACCACTCCCAACAACAGAGACCGCAAGGGCAACACAAAACAGGCCTCCCGCAATCCAAAGGAGCCAGAACAACCACAGGAGCCAGGGACAAAGAAGAAAAAGAACAGGAAAGGCCGCGGCGGCCTGGAAGACCTGGCTGACGAGCAAGAAAAGCTCTACGCCCAACTAAACTAGACCGCCCGCAACACTAAGTAAACACTTATTTCGCACGTGTGCTTCCTCTTTACCTGTTAGAAACTTTGATTATTACTTGACCTAATAGAACACTAGTTTTGATACCTTTGTAAACATTTCGCTTGAGTTCAGTTATCTGCTACGTTTCATTTCCGTTGTCACATTAGTGTCCTTGTCTAGTTAAGCTACATAAGTTGACAAGGTAATAAGACAACAAAGAACTACCCTATGCACCAGTAGTATCTAATCCCACTTGTCTTGCAACTGACCATTTCCTTTCAGTTCGTAGAAGTCATGTACCTGCATTTTTACAGTTCCATTAAACAGAAATAGTGTAACTCTAGGAATTCGTTTATTAAACCATTTGTTCCACTTTGAAACTCTGTGTGGTTTCCATTACTGCACCAATATTTTCCCGTTCCCGAAGAAAAATTGGGGGGCCAAAGATTGAACTAAGAATCTGGACACAATCGTGCTATAGGTGCAATCTCTCCAAGATATCTACACGCTATGGCAACTGGGAGTTATCGAACATTCCCAGTTTGAGATGCAATATCCTCTCTCCCCACAGCAGCGAGCCATCTACTCTAGATACCTTTCTCTTGTGGAGACACGCCAACGTCAGATCTACGGCACATGCTCACCTGGAGGAAGTTCCTCTACGACGCAACTAGCAGACGAGAACTCCACCGATTACCTCAAGTACCAACTCCTGTTAGGCTGTCCCGGAACTGGGAAGACTCAAGTGGTCAAGCACCTGGTCCACACCTTAATTGAAGAAGAATACTGCGTTACTGTGTGCGCTCCCCTGGGTCTTCTTGCTACCAACTACAGGGAGGAATTCTACCCCGATCTGCAGGCTGACATCATCCACACGCTTTTCAACATCCCTGTTGCGGCGGACAAACAGTACGCGGTTAACTATAACATCGGGAAGTACGATGCCATCATCATTGACGAGGCTTCGATGGTCGCTGACGACACCTTTGACATGATCCACGATACACTGGAAAAACAGGTCCATCGACCCCTCGTCATAATCGCCGGCGATGAATGTCAACAACCGCCCTTACAGACGATCAACGGCAACAATACAACAACAACAATACCTTTATTCACCTTGTACTTAATTAATTACATACTCACGTGAAAGAGAAAAAAATATATATTTATTTGTACTTAATAAGGCCTGGAGCTAAAATAATCCTAAGATTTTCTAGCCAGTTCTCCAGAATTTAAAGTTTTAGAGAATTGAGATAGAATTTATTTCNCCGATTGATTGTTTCCCCGTATTAGTTCGCACTTTTTTTACTTGTCTACTTTCAAACTCATTATTTTGTCATATACTTCACTCGGGCAAATGCCACGGAACATAAAACCATTTGGTGTCATAGTTCTATCTAAATACACTGAAGGGTCTATGACATGTTTTGGTAGTTTATCTGCTAGGCCATTTCCAACATTTATAAAATGGCTGTTTAATTGATCACAAATACTCTGCTTGTCTATATAAATTCTATTGTCACGCTGCAGTTTCTTGATTGTATGTTGAGTATTTTCTTTTTTTGTTCTTATTACTTTGCTAATTAATTTCCATGTGCATTTTATGTTTTCTTTGTTCAGTTCAAATTGTTTAGAAAAATAATTTTTTTTCGCTGCGTGGATAATCCTATTCAACTTATTACTATATGCTTTATACTCTTTTACTTTGCCTAGGTCCATACTGTACCTGGGTCCGTACGATCCAGACCACGTCGATCTTGAAGAACCGCCGCTTGCGCGAAGTCCACCAGATTCACTCCCTGTACCAGCAATTCCGGTGCACCGATAAGGCGTATATGAACTTCTTGCAATACATCCGATATAGCCGTCCCCAACAGTACGTGGTGGACAACTTCCAGCGGCCCTTGCTTCTATTCGAGCAATCCGATATAACGGACTTCGACATATGGCACACTGTTCAAGACGCGCCAGACGCCACCTTTCTAACAGTCTCCCGTGCCGCTGCAAATTGTGTCAACAACATCGTGATTGCCCACGCCTTCCAGGAGAAAACACTGGTGTCGACGATACCCCTGGAGAATGATGTCCACCACTTTCTCCCTTTTCGCGACATGCGCGTCGTTGTAACTCAGAATCTAGACAAATGTACTGGTGTGGTCAACGGCCAGCTCGCCACATTTCAAAACAGTCAGAACAACACCCTTCTCTTGAAGTTTCCAAACGGAAAGACGACGTTCACCTACCCTGTCACCACCACCACTGAAGACGGGTGCAGTAGAGTGCACTATGCGCTAAACCCAGCCTATTGCATGACCATCTGCAAAACGCAAGGCGCTAACATCAAAAGGCTGATCGCCTGGTTCGACTGCCCTACTGTGCCCAGCTGTATGGGATACGTCGCTCTCTCCAGAGTACACAAGAGTGAGGACATCAAAATCCTGACACCAATGGTAGCTGACCAGTTGACCCCAGCGTTAACTTAAACACCTAGTGTCCACACGTCAACGAACCACTAGTCCATAGGATGCCTTACACGAAGCCGCTATATGTTACACATCCCACCCTTGTTGTTCATACTCACTCTGCTGCCCACACCCTTCACGCTGTGGACCTTCCAATTGACAACCGGTCGCATGACCCGACTCTCACCACTGGACTCACCGCTTTGCCTGGCTTCCGCGACGCTATCGACCCCTACCCGTTGTCACATAGCACCTAAGCAGAGATACATACGCTCTCACCGGTCAGTCCTGACCCATCAACGAACAATCTCACGCGCAATTATTCGTTTGCAGCTCTGTCAAGACTCAATCAAAACCCATGGACGCCAGAGAGCAAAACCGGCATCAACTCTTTCAAGCACCAAACCAAACATTTTCTAACGCTGTACGGGAAAACCCACGGCTTGCTGACATCCCACGAGATTTTAGACAAGGTGCTCTATTGGAACTGCGAGTGGTTAACACGGCCGAATTATGCCATTAGCGAGCTCGCAGATACTCTGTATGCCAACCTTGCAACACTCGCCGAATATAAAGACAAGGTGTTCACAAGGCACGCCGTGGACCCTTTGCTGAACAAAGCTCGACCCATCAGGACAGTCCTGCAAAGATTCAACAAAAAAGATTCTGCGACTGCCGAAGAACCGGATGAACGCGATCTGGCCGATTTCATGAAATTTATTGAGGACAACACGCTGAAGAGTCTCTGCAAACACCTATTCGCGGCATCCGGCGCAATGTTCTCCATAGCCACGCACATCATGACTCTAGAAACACTATTCAGCCAACCGGCTGAATACGTGAAGAGACACCGCGAATCGCCGGAAGTCCAATCTTTCAAACAGAATCCATCACGGGAGTCGATGGTTGCATATATAGCCTCTCAGACACTAATTCACACTGAGATAGTGCCGGAAGAAGAACAGGGCGGCAGCATTTGGGACACTCTCACCCAAAGAAGTTCTACGCAACAAACGCGCCCAACTGCTACCTTTTGGGATGCTGTACAAGAAACCGTTGATGATGACGAAGCCGAGTATCCCTATGAGGACGAGGACGAAGAAGAGCCCATTTCCGCTCCAACCCGCAGACGACCCCGGCGCAACATATTGCAGGACGAAGAGGAGCAAGAGGAGGACGAAGAGGAGCCCTTTAACACACCAGAATCCTCGGGGGAACATGCCCTGTTCATCACGCAGCAAGACCCTGACCCATATCACGAGCCAGGCACTCTGTCGCGCACCCAAAAAGGCAAAACACCAGCTGCGCGAAAAAGGCCATCCCCAACAACTAACATTTGGGCCAGCTTTGGGCTCAGTGCGGAGAGCAGCACATCGGCGGGTAACTCTGCACCACCAGCCAAGAAAAAAGCCACCGCACCTCGTCCCCGAGGAACCAAACCAACCAGGGGAAGCACCCGAGGCCAAGGAAGAGGAGCACAAGGCAAAAGAGGGCAGCCTACAGTCCGCCACACGTACTTTGACTAGTGCAGAGTGAACTATAAACTATACAACACGCAAGTGATTTGTCAAATATGCCATACTGCAGGACACACTAATACATACTAGAGACTTGATCACACTAATTCATGTGCCATACAACAACACATTTAAGACTCGATACCACAAGACCAATTACCCTTGCACTACATCCTACTAAACATTGTTATCCTGCACCTACGACACGTTCGCCAACACTTGCTAATCGTTGAGTTGAAACTTATTGCAGGACATTGACATTAGTACTAGCAACCGATGGGTACGGTCTCCGTACCAAGAGTTGTTGTTCCTTAGATTGCCCTCCTTTACGAGGCCACTTACATAGAAAAACGTTTAAGACCCTTCTAAGCCCAATCCTGTTAACTTCAACTATGACGGTCAACGTTGCACACCGAGTTTACAACCTGGCCCACATTACTCTCTCGGGATCGCCCCCCTTGTCCTTTCTACCATTCCTTTTTTCTCATGCCCTACACTTTTGACACTTCCTTCCTCAACAGGATTGAAGCTTCATTGGGTCTTTGACTGTTTCACCCGTTTAGTGTTACGTTCTGGGCGACCAAGCTCGTCACTTTACCTTATACCTTAGTGCCTCACTAAGCACCACGTTGTTTCAAGCATAACTCAAATACGCAACAAGCACTGAAGCACTTCGACTCCAAATATTGGACTCGTATGTGCCTTACGCAAAGTGCAAAGTAGGAAACGTCCTACACCCGTGAGTACACACATGTTTCGGTACAGCATTCACTCAAGAGAATACTCTAACACGGATGTGGAAGCCCCTTTGTTTCATCATGTCTTTCTTGTCCGCAAGTTCCACATCCATCTCGTTTGTTACGTTTACAGAACAAAGACACTCGTTTAGTACCCTTGTATTCTCGTTATTTCGTGGCTTCCAACACGCCAATCGTACGCTCCTAGGTACTGTTGAACCCTACTACCTCGACCTGTTTCTTTTACCCTCCCAAAGAAATAGTTCTGTACAGATCGAAAATCCGTCTGACATTAAAGTCTTATGTTTACTCTTATGTTTACTTTCAACGACTCTCTCGTCTTTGTGAAACGTTCCCGTTGGGTGTTTTGGGGGGAAAATGATAAAAGAAGGAATCTGGAAAATTCAAAAAGCAACTCGAGCGTTTGAACAATAGCTTGGTTGCCTCAAGCCAGTTGTCCCTGTTCTTGGTTTTGCTTTAGCAGGGTGGGCGGGTGGGATACCGAACCCAAAAGTACCCAAAGCCAACACAGTCTCATTACCCCCCATCGTTGCATGCCAGGTCTCTCAGCACAGGATATCGAACCTCCGTAAGTTTCAGCGTTTCACTAAGAGATGCTCTAGAGATTTCGACGTTTTGTCGTCTTAACGTAATATAATTGTGGTAACTTTTTTGACGCATCGAAAACGACTGAGATGGCTTTGTTTCATGTCTGGCATTTCGAGCCCTTTCAACGCCTTACGCTGCAACTCACAGGAGGTGTTCACTGTTCGATGTTCTACAAGTTGGCGAAGTCTCGTGGTCCTACGTCAAATATCACGTGACTTATTGTCCCTGCAAAACCCCATCTCAGACGTTTGCACCTTGTTTTCGACCCTTGGGGAGAAGTCCCCCCGGTCTCCAGATTTCGTACTCCAGCTAGATTTTTGCCTCAAATGGCCATATTCCAAATTTGGCATCAAACCGTTAAAACCCGGGGGGGCTACCCCCGAAAATGTGTTTTTTTCCCTATTTTGCTCTTTTTTCGAGATGGCTTTGTTTCACTTCCATATCTTTCTTGTCTTGGAGTCCTTAGGCTTCAAACTTGGCAGGCTACTTGTTTGGTCGATGATCTAGAAGTGTGCCAAGTGAAATGGTCAGACAATGAAAGTCACGTGACTTATAAGTGTCCGAAAACCTCATCTCAGATCACGTAGTTTCCCCCCCGGTTTTCACCCCCCGGTCTGCAGACTTCGTACTCCAGCTAGCTTTTCGTCTGAAATGGCCGTATTCCAAATTTGGCATGAAACCGTGAAATCCGGGGGGGGCTACCGTGGAAAACGCGGTTTTTTCCCCTGTTTTGGTCTTTTTCGGAGTTGGCGTTGTTTCAGGTCTATATCTTCCTTGCGTTTGACTCCATACAGATCAAAGTTGGCAGACTGGTTCTTTGGTCAATGATTTACAACTCTGTGAAGCATGAAGAAATAACGTCAAAAGGGGCAGAAAAAGGGTGCTTTTGGAGCTCTTTTTTGATTGGTGCATTTCGATCCGCATATTAATGAGACAGGTCTATATAAACCCCGTTTTTTCCAAGTTCGGCACCGCAAATCTTCTCCTCCCGGCAAAGCCCTCTCCGTTTGGATAGCGTTTTTTTCGGCGAGAAGTCTTCTGCTGTGTTTCAACTGTTCTTTTCAGAACAAAGTCTTCACCGTCTGCTTCGTTAACTGTTCTTTTAAGAACAAATCCTTCTTGTACTGTTGCAACTGTTCTTCTTGGAACAACATCGTCCGTGTTTGGTTTTAACTGTTCTTTTCAGAACAACTTTGTTCGTTTTCGTTTCCACTACGATATCCTGTGACGTTCTTCTGCCTTCGTTGCAGTCGTACTTTCCAGGTGGGGTTCTGTTCTTTCCTGATTTCAACGACATTGCCTTTCAATTGTAGTTAACTTCAAGTCGCATTTTCCCGCCTTTTTTAAAACGTTTAACGGTTTTTTTTCTTCATTGGCAGATTCTCCGTTGTCTTCGCGTTACGGAACATTCAGTTACCGCCGTTTGTTGTTTTGTATTCAATCGTAAGTACATTTCCTTTGTCTATCGTCCCTCTAGGCGACTTCCTTGTTTTAACCGTTCTCTGTGAACGAGCAACGTTTTTCGGTGCGCTTTTTTCCCGCCCTTTTTGAAAAAAGGCCCATTGTAGTCTCTGTTTTGGCCAGTCGCTTGTTTTTACCGTTTTGTTGGAACGACTAAGCATTTGCCAAAAGGTTGCATTGTACTTGGCCTTTTTTGGGCCACTCAATTGTTGTCACCGTTCTCTAAGAGCGACTAACGTTTTTCGCGGGCTTTTTTCCCGCCTTTTCTCATTGTCGTTGTGCGTTAGTTTTCTGCTCCCATAGCCGACATAGTAACGCCTTTCCTTCTTTTTGACAGGTTTTGCCTTTACTTATTGCTGCGTTGTTGTATTTTGCTGTGGTTCGTGTTTTTCATTGTAAAGGTAAGTCATGTTCATTAGTGTCTTGCTTTCTGGAATTACCTTTACTTGTGCTTTAGCAGTTAGCCTATGTTAATGTCTTGCAATCTTATTGAATAACTGCTGCCGATCACAACCATTTTATAGTCAAGATGGGCATTTCAGTAACGTGTGTTTCATTTACTTGCAGTTCTTTCTTACAATCTCCACATCTCAGATTTCAAGTCGGTGAGTTATTTTCTTATTGTTTTGTCAGTTTTAAGGTGCCCAAAAAAAAAAAACGATGTCTTAGAGTCATTACTGCTGAATTCTAAGACAGCCTAGTACGGTCCCTGGGCCACCTTCCGGGTACGCAGTCGTTATTGTTATTGCTGCGCCCTGATAAGGGCTGCGTACACCGTTGAGGGTTCGATGTAGGTCTTTTTTCATTTACCTTCCGGGCCTATACATGTGCTATAATTGACTGTTGGTATATCACATGTATGGGCGCTGTCGAGGGTTTTGTTTGTCATGTTTTCATGTTTCCTATTATGTCATTATCATGTACTCTTGTATGACAACAGTTCTTGCGCTGCTGCGCTCAAAGTAGGGCCCTGTAAACTTAGGGCGGATTCTCGAGGCACTAGCAAAGCAACGCTGTCGGGCGGCGCGTTAATAGCTTGTTGTTTACTTAAGTCGTCGTGATCTTGCAAGATTAGCAGTTGAAGTATTGTTGAAAGTCATCCGTCGTCTCTTACATTTTTGCACTTACAAAAGGCACAGACCAAACTTACAGGTGTTGATGACTTCCAACGATTCTTGTCTTGCATGGTTACGCGTCATTCATATTCAATGTACTGTATCTCATCTACGGTAACTATCGGAAACACTGAGACGCCACTCCCTTCCTTGCTAGTCTCATCATGGCGTCGGGTTGGTCATCCCAAAATGCCCAGTCTTTTTGGACACAACGTCACTCTGCGTCCATCATGCACTATCCAGTCTCGGAACGAAGACAACATCAGCTGGCCCACCGGCAGGAAGAACGTAACCAAAAACAGGAAGACTGCAGGCAGTCATTCATCTCCATCAATCGCCTTGACAACGCCAACGCAGACCCACTCATCCATACACAAGAGGCCGCAGATGTGGAATTTTGGGCCCGCTACCAAAGCTGGACATTTTGTGACAAATGTGCGAAATTGGAACCTCGAAAGCTGTTGCCGGCATTCCACCGAAGGGCTCCAACCCCATTGCACAAGACGTGCAAGTGCAGCAACGCCACCTATGTCGTCCCCGACGTGGATGATGTCCCTCTGCTGTTGCGGAACGTCACCATTGAAGACCAGAGACTGCTGAGCCCGTTTGACATTCACTGTGGGGATTATGTGAAAATGTTTAACGGATATCGCCAGAGGACAGGCCCATTCCGCATATCCTGGTCCAGAGAATTGGTTCAACAAAAGATCTTGCATGTGGACGATCCGTCGAGACGAGCTTTCCTCAAGCAGGTTTATGACTTCTTGATCATGAAGGAAGACAGCTGCTACTCGCGCTTCATACTGATGCATTTCCGACGCGAGCGCCCACCATTCTTGTATGAAATCTTCTCTTCGCCACTTTACCGCGGTGTAGAGTGCGCACTCTGGCCTCCACTGTACCATAAGACTTCCCTGTGTGAAAGTATGCTGGAAGGACAAGACAATCGCGCCAGCGGCAAGATCGCCTTCATGCACAAGCTCCTGTCATCAGTGGACGACTTTGCCCTCAATTTTGACATTCTGCAATACCAATATGATCACTGGTTATTTAAGACCATCACGGGTGCAGTCAATGCGTCGAAGGCGTCCGGATGCCCCCCAAATAGAAGTTTAGAAACGAAGTCATTTAGCAAGACCTTCTGGCAGCACCAGAACCTTTACCTCATTGATGCAGTCCGCCAGTATGGTTACCCGTCCTTTTTTCATACCATAAGTCCATATGAGTGGACATTTCCTTTTCCACCCTTCTTGGAGGACATGAGATCCCGCTATTTCAAGGACGTGACGGACATCCCCACAATTGAAACCATTCATATAGCCCACGTTCTGGAACAAATCGCCCAGGGTTACTTGACCGGAGGCAATTGCAACAGATGGAGGACAAATGTGTTCACCAACCTTCGCGACCCCACTTCCAAGAACGTGGAGACCTTTTTTTATCGATTCGAGTTCCAGAAACGCGGCACTCTCCATTTGCACATGCTGGTGTGGGTGAAGGACATTTCAGCAACAAGAGCAGATCTCCTTCATGCTTCAGTGCCCTGGGAGAACGCCGAAGACGCCTTTACTGTCGCATCAATACAGAAATCAGATAAGTCATGTCTACCCGTACGCCACCATCCCGACTCATTCATCACCGAGCGTAACGGACGCCACACTCTGCAATTCCAGCACACGGAAGACGATGCCGAGTGCCATATCAGGGCCTACATCACCACCTTGCTCGGATCCCTTCACTGCAGAACAGATGTTCAACTGGCGGATGGAAAGGCTCTCCTACTGAAATATGTCAGCAGTTACGTAACCAAGATGCATGAGAGCGCCACCTCTGAGGGTCTGTACTGCACCGATGTGACTGGCTACCAGGCCGCCCATTCCTTCTTGCGCACCGTAACTCCCCTGGAACCGGAGATGGTTTCTCAGCTCTCCAACATCAAGGTCTGCTGGACGGACAAGTTCACAGTGCTGTTCAAACCACCATTTCCGGATCAGACGGGGGGGAACAAGGTCTACCAAATGTACTTACAGCGTCCCCACACAGAAGACGACCAAACTCTGCTTCAGTGGATAAGGTGCCACCAGACATCTGGGTCCAAGCCCAAACCATACGTAGACGATCAAGTCCTAGTGGGCGTTAAGTACGTCTCCATATTTAACCCAATCTTCTTTTACCAACATTTGACGACGAACTGGCCGCATCGCGAAGTGAACACATTGAGACATGCCGAGGAAGACACGATGCCCGAAACCATCAAGCATTTTTCTCAGTGCGTTGCCTTAACCCCTCAATTTTGGGACACCGCCGAGACCATCACTTCTCAGTTTGAACATGAAGGCCATAAAGGTTACTTTATAAATACCATTGTATCTTACGTTCAGTCTCTTCACGACATACTCCACCTTTGGCGCATTCGTGTGGTCACCAATCAAGTCGCCGACCTGTCCTCTCTGTCTTTACAATCGCTGTACCCGCTGTCATCTCATCAATCTGCCATACTTGCCGACATCACCGCCGCCCTTTCCTGCCGCCAATCTCTTCTGTCCGAGGACAACCATTGTGACGCCGCTGACTCCAATTGGCAAAAATACCGCCTTCTTCTGGGGAAGCCTGGGACAGGAAAATCCCACATTCTAATCCGTGCAATTGATTACGCTATTAGCAATGAGCTCTCAGTGTTAGTTGCTGCTCCTGTAGCCTTGCTGGCCCAAGGCTACAACTCCATATTTTATGACGAGGTCACGACGGACACTCTTCACGGTGCTTTCAGCATCCCCATAGACGGCCCTCTGCCCAACGAGATCAACCATAGGATGAACCAGTATGACATGATTGTTGTGGACGAAGCCTCCATGATCTCGGCACCCATCTTTGGAGTCATGGCATCTACTTTCAACCGCGTCAACCTTCGCCCCGTTGTGGTCCTGGCAGGTGACAAGTGTCAACAACAATCTCTGCAGACCGTCAACGGGCGTATCACCTCCACCACTTCCATCATAAACGACAACACCACCTTCACGTCAAACAATGCAGTCATCCATCGCCTACACCAGCAGTTCAGAATCGTCGATGCCGAATATGCCGCGTTTCTGGATCTCATCCGTTTCATTAGCCCAACTCAGGAGCAGGTGGACAGAAAAATCGCTGACAATACTCTCTGTTCTCTTCAAGTGTCCTTTTCTTTCCCGTTTGACTTGTTCCTAACGGGGCAATCACCATTGTCATCCCTTGGCTGGTCCAACGGTCTACATCCTTTCTAACAACAGACAACACCAATAACACTAGGTACCACAGGTACGCTCTTGTGTCGGAGAACACGAGCTGAGGTAACCAACCCTTGGGGAGTGCCGTAAGAGAGCCACCTGTGGACCTCTCTTACTGTCTGTTCGACACCACTCATCTATTCATATCTGTCCAGTCGCTACTAGTCCTAAGTACTCCTGCGCAGAGTCCCCAGTAACTCGTCTTCATGCCCAACAGGGCCTATCCCTCAAACGGGGTTTCATATTCACCAATTCATGGCAATACTGTCTCTTCTTTTCAAGTCTCCTCTTCTTTCCCATTTCAGTTGTTCGCAAGTCCTCAACCACCATGCTCCTTCCTTTACTACTCCAATGGTCCATATCTTTCTAACAACGAAAACAACAACACTAGGTACCACAGGTTGGCTCTTGTGTCGGAGAACACGAGCTGAGGTAACCAACCCTTGGGGAGTGCCGTAAGAGAGCCACCTGTTAACCTCCCTTCGCGTCTCTTCTACACAATTCATGTATTCACATCTTTCGACTCTCTCGTAGTGCTACCTCGTCGTGGTGAGAGTCCCCAGTAACCCATCTTCATCCCCAAGAGGGCGTATTGCTCTAACGCCTTAAATGGGTGAAGCCAAAGCACTACACAAACCCATTCGTATATTTATTCTCTTTCGGGTTACCCATACCAGCCGTTACAGAGTGACGTTCCCAAATTTACAAAAAGAAGCCTTTTAGGATGACAAACCTGTCTATAAGTATCTGTGTCGCAAAGGCACAACTTCCGCAACTAACCATTCTTCATTTTACAGGCATGTCTCATTCTTCTGGAAAAGGTGGCGCCACCCCCAAGCCGAATTATAATAAGCACTTCCCCCGTAGTTTCATGCTGAACTACAGGGAAGCGCTGTCCAACCTGCCGGATGAGAAGATCCTCTGCAGGCTATTCGATTGGAATTGTGAATGGCTGTCCAGGCCGAATATTCCCATCTCTGAAATGGCCAGCACACTTAAAGAGAACTGGACAAATATAATGGCGTACCGCGGCACCGTCTTTACCGAAGAGTTCGTGGACGATCTCTGCAACTTCGTAGATCCAATAGTCGACCCCCTCAGGAGAGTTGACAATAAAGACAAATTGGACATGGATCCGCCAGACGCCAATGATGTCCTCAAGATACTAAAAGCCATCAACTTTGAGCCTTGGGTTGAGGATCTCTTCATGGATGCGTTTAATGCCGTTGGGCCCGTCTTAATGATGTCTATCCACATATTGGTCATTAACTGCTTGATGCATAATCCAGATGTCTTTGCTGAGAGGAGCGTCAGAGCCCCAAGTACGGAGAAGTTTAAGGAAAATCCCACCTTCAAAAATATGATGAAGTATCTGATCGATCAGATACTTATGAGACGACGTACCGTAAAACGTTCCACCAACGACTGGGATAGTGCAGCCTACTTAGATGACGACGAGGAGGAAGACACAGACCAGCGGCGCCCCAGCAGGTCAAAACGAAGCCTCGCCCATCCACATCCCAAAAGTGGACAAACATCTAACGCTGCAGCATCAACGTCCACAAGACGTGTTCCTCAACCCTCGACCTCCACAGACAGAGCTGACAGAGGTGCAACTTCCAGGAGACGCAGAACCTCCTTCGATGTCAGTGGCATAGCCGCGTTACCAAACTCTGACGATGAAGACCAGCAACCGCCGGCCAGGCACGGCAAAAAACAGCGATTTGTTCCCAGCCCTGTCGAAGAAGACTACTGCTCGGAGGAGAATGAAACATGTATGAAACATGCCAAGAAGAACAAAAGGCCCCTGAACAGCCCGTCAGCAGCGAAGAACCGAAGACAGGTGCTAAACCTGTACGACGACACTGATGAGGAAGCCGACATCTTCATCACCCAAAGCACTCCCCCCAAGAAAAAGAAGAACAAAAGGCGCCGATCGCCATCGCCCAACCCGCCACCAGAGCCCATCGCCGAAGACAAAAACGAAGAACCACAGACTGAGGACGCTGAGGCTAAGTCCAAGAAAAAACACAAGAAAAAGAAAAAGAGCAAGGACAAGACCCACGAAGCACTGGCAAGACTCATTGCCGACCAGGACGAGGTCAACCGCCTGTTGGCCAAGGGAAACAGGAAGTAGGATCTACCTTGTGACCATTCCCCTTTCGTTCTTAACAGTATCTAGTCTTTTCCAGTCAAATCACTCAGCGTTCCTTAGTTTTCTTCGTATTTGGGCCATTTGGGCTACAACTGATGTGATTCTAGGGCAAAGTCATTAAAACTTGTTGAACATTGAAACACGGTGTGGACTCCATTCCTCGTAACCTGTCATTTCCCAATCCCCGGATATGCTAGAGAGGGAGGGCCGATACTCGGGAGAGTTCCAAGACCCAATGGGGGAGCACCCTTTTCGAAGAGGGTTCTAGACCCAGAAATGGGTTTAAACCATTGGGGTTTCGGGAAAGAAGGGTGGTCAGGGGTGGGGAGAAACCCTAGTCAACACTATGGTCGAACAAGGTGCAGGTTATCCCAGTGGTAACTTTTATGACACCTCTCCCTAATGGAGGAACCAAGAAACCTGCTCATAAAAATAAAGTGACTTTTCTTTTTTTATCTAAAAAATGTTGTCTTCAGTACTGCAATAAGCATGTCCTTGTCTTAAATGAAAGAATCTGGAAAATTCTGCTTCCAAGTGATAGGAAAAGACCTGAGATCAAATGAATATTACAGTCTGGCTTGTATCCTCTCATCCAAAGACCACAGTTAAGTTTAGAATGTGGACATTTAAATCTACGTCTAGTTCATTTTTTTCATCCATTTTTGTTCATTGCATGCCAAATTACGCTTACAGCCATAGCTAAGCCAATGAACAGGCAGCACCTTCCTAGTTTGACCTCTGCCTTCTTAAATAGGTCAACAGTGAACAGCGACTTGCCCTTGTAAGGGCCCAAGGATTATTTCCTGATGCAACCCAACAGCAACGAAGGCCTTGCACACTTATTTTCTAGCAGTTTACAAGAATGACAAACTTCACACCTTATATTGTTAGCACCTGCCTTTCATCTGAAAACCTGTCAAGCTGTCTCAGATGCTGTAGTATTGCTAGAAAGCAGAATTGTTCCTGAACTGTGGAGACTGAGATCATCCTTCATGATCATTCCTTTTACAAACTCGCCTGCCAATATAAACTTGTCACACAGTATTGTCGCGAAACCCAGAGTATTAAAAGATTTTAAACCACTTACGGTATCATCACCCTTCACATAAATTTCCTGAAGCACCTCACATAGTCAACCTCTGGGTACCTTCTTAGACCATCAAAAAGGAACACATTCTACTAGTACTATTCTTTACAGTTTATAATTACTGCAACACCAGTAACTGTGTACCACCCTTGAGTCCCTTTTTACACAACCACCTACATATGGTATTCAATGATTACTCTTTTTAGGAGAGGCCTTTATTTCCGCCATATCCATCAGTTAAAAGTCAAACCCTTGGCGGAAGAATGAAACATGGTAAATTTTACATGTATGGTAACCGAAGAAACCTGTCACAAGCATTTCCTTTTTTTTGAGACAAAGAAAGTAAACAAAAAAATGATTGTCAGTACTTGATACTGTTCTTGAAATTAAGTAGTGAAACTAGTTTTTTTTAATTTACTATAACCAATGACATTCTTCGCAAGGACCCCACTAGCACCACTTGCTTGAACAAACGCCCCATCATGTAAATAAAGCAGCTAAGTGACAGCATTGTAAATGCTTACATGGCAATTTAACCTTTAAATATCACTGTCCTGGTATTTTGTCTAGCGCCATGTAGTTCTAAACTTCTCTAGTTTTTGTTTAATTACTTATTGCAATTACCACTTTCTTTTTTCAAGGAACCCACGAGCACTACAAGTAAACGCCACTTCCTTGAACAAAAGTGACACATTTCCTTAACACTTTGAGGGATTCTTGAATTGGGCAGCTAAGTGGGAGAACTGATAAAACATGTTTTTACCCCCTTGTTGTCCACAAATAACAAGCAAAACAACAAGAAAGCATAAGTGGCCAATTTCATAAGGCAATTAACATAAACCTTTTGACACCATATTAAAGGCCCAAAGAACTGGAGGACAAGGTAGAATACATAAAGTACCTAAAGCCCTAAATATGTGAGCTGCTATGACAGTCATCCATCTTTCTGAGCGAGTTCTATGACAAACTAGAGTGCACCCTCACAGGGAGTTCAAAAAAAATACCAAATGTGATGATAAGAAAAAAATATTTTAATGACACGTGTTACAAGGAGGTATACTCACAGGCACGTGACAAACATGGAGCAGTTCATTTATGTGGACTGCAACAAAAAAGGAACCAGCATATCCACCACTACTCCAGAAAAAGCAAAAATGGTGGAGTAAGCCTACGCAACGATAGGTACATGCCTTTGAAGCAAGGTCGGCACTGTGTAGCTTTCCTTGGGTGGGCTTCCCAATACTCATTTGATCAAGGTGTGTGTTAAGAATGATTGAATTCTTATGGGATGAATAGGTTCACGGCTTTGCTCTAGAGGGAATCAAAAAAAAATTATTTGAGCTGCACCAGCCCTGAAATTCTTTAACTCAAGTGTTTACTGTAGTGTGACACATCCATGTATGATCTTGGCGTTTTGGTGAAGTGTTCTCCAACTAGCAGCTTAGAAACTAAAACCTTCAGCCAACAATACTAGCAAAATCAACATCCCTTCCACTCTCACACAATTTGGGTTTCCCTCCATATTTCTCAGAAGCTCTCCTTTCAATGGGACTTTTCAGTGGCCTGCCTGGCTATCCACACTTTGAAACGAAACTGACCAAGGACAGACAAAGCTCGCGATACCCAAACACTTCACATGGCATGCGTTCTTGAGCAGGTCATTCATAAATTACTCTGCGGCAAAAACACAAACCGCTGGTAAAACCACCTCTTTACCAACAAGTCAGATCTGTCGCTAAAACAAAGTGAGAAATTACTTCTACCACTACGAGTTTCACAGGCGTGGAACCCTTTACGTCCATAATCTGGTCTGGTTGGACGATCTCTTAAACGTCAATCTAGCCCAATTCTTTTCGAATTGGAGGTTTCGTTTCTTGCCCTATATTTAATCTCAATTTATATTGATCACTTAAGGGTCAACTCAATAGCAAGCCGTATTACATTTAAGCTGAAAATGGTTCATTGTACAATTAAAACAATAAATAAGCGTCAATATTTGACTTAACGTCATTTATTTCCCAATTTTCCTATAAAGAGTAGAACAGGGTTTTATGTCCAAATATTGGTCGATAATCAATGCTAGGGACCCCAATTTGACTAGACATCAATTGCTAATAAGGAAGGAAGCAAAAAGTCAAGAAGTTAACAATGCGGGAGAGTAAGTTAAAGAAAGAACATAGCAAAAGGGAAATTGAAATGACAGCAATACATGATGCCATAAAACAACCAGGATGTTCATTGCTCTCGTGAATCACATGCAGGATGAGTACTATTTGATTCTTATTGCATTGTCAAAGATAACATAACATACACTTTATTACGACTCCTCTATACGGGGCTATTCTGTCGTAATATACAATAATAACAAATATACAATAATAAAATTACAATGGGACAAAAATAATTACATTAATCTTATAATATTATTATATTGTCAAATAGTGTTATTGAATCTGTCAAGGGCTCTATTAGTGAAACAAAAACGCTGTAGTTAGCACAAGCTGAGAACACAATGTCGTGACATAATTGAAACATTCTGGAATAAGGCGTATTGACAGGATCGTATTTATGGATAAGTGAACTGTGTAAGTGCGGCCTTATATATCCTAACAGAAAAAATTCTACTCTGGAGAGGTTTTTTTTGGGTCAAGTAACCAACAAATAAATTAGAATCCAAGATAATGTGTTTTTCATTTCCAAATCCGGGCATGTTCAACGGGACATTGAGTGATACCATCACACATAAAGGGATTCTTTATGACGCGCAAAAGCCGAAGCATTGCTCGCTCAAGCAGTCAAATGCACACAGAAGATTGCCAAAACCTTAAGGGCACAATTGCTGCTGCACAAGACGTGCCACATTATGAGCCCATACCAAAGCCATGGAGTATGAGAAAATGCTAATCGAACAAAACGTGAACCACGGGTAAGAAGCAACAGCTAAGGCACAAGCCGAGCAGTTGCAGTTTCAGAAACAAAAGAAGAAAATTCAACTTGAACACCAACAACAAAACAGTTCACTAAAAGAACAGGTGAGCATGAGTAAATCTGAAGGAGAATCCACCATAGCTGGGACTGTTCAAACATCAGGTCCAGCAATAACCGATTAGTTGACTACAAAAACTGAAGTCTAAACATTTCTCAGCGATCACATCAATTTTGAGATATTGAGTGAATTTTTTTACTGGAGTAAAGCTTTTGACCCATAGCTGTAGTGAGGAACTGGTCTAAGTTTGATATTCAAAGTGTGGTCTTGCACCTGAGCCTTCCAAAAATGTCCACAACACGTTTTTCATCACAGCTTTATAAGAAAGGTCATGGTTTTTGTGAAAAAATAAACAATGCAAATGTTTCCTCTCGCTACCAACACGTCAAAAGCACTAGAATAGTTTATTCAGCTTTAAAAACAATTGTTTTTTTTTTAACCACTAAACTGAATCCCTGAGCGGATTACCCGCCTGTTGAGCTTACCAGTTACCGGTCTTCCATCACATGTGCCTTTTGAACCAATGGAAAAGTATGAAATGAAGTTCCGTTTGATCAGTTCAAATTCACGTGGAACTTCCCTTAACAACAGCACAAGAACTTTTCTCCCAGAAGTTTATGTTATATTAAAGGTGGATTTTTCATTTATTTTGTTGTTGACACACGAAGCGTGCTTTCAGTCACGTCCGAGGAAGGTAAGCTAGCTGTATTGTGGAAGGTAACTTTATGTTCCTGCTGATTGTGGTTCGTTTTGCCCTTTAATTAGAACTTTTAACACATACTTTGAATGATGAATAGGGAACTTCAAGACGCAATGAAATACCATCTATTGGTTCCTTTTTGTTTGCTGCAGACATATAAGTGGTTATTGTTGCAAATGGTTAATGAAATCCTACATAAATACTGATTCTGCCAGACTGTATCATGAAAATGTATGTTCAAATGCCTCGTCTACTACAAGTACATTAAGCATTTTAGTTTCCAGTCCATTATTTTCTTTTTCAAACCTGAAGTAAAAAAGCAGCTTTTTACAAAACCATACAGCTAGAATGCTGCAGCTTTTATTGAATGTAAAGTAACATAAACAAAATGCTGAAATATTTGACGACAACAGTGTGCTTCACATAATCAGTGAACCAAGAAAAGATTTAAAGATCATTATTTTCTATCTTTTTTCCACATATACAAACAAGTACAATACGATTATGATATGGAGCGTTTGAATGTAATTTTCATGCTTTCCTCAGTTGAAAATTAATCATTTGCTTAAAAATACCTACGGACAATTGTGTGCCTTAAGTTCAGCCTGTTGATTTCATAACTCCTAGGAATTCCTAGGAGTTACGAAATCTACAATCTTGCACTTACCAGCCTTGTTAAAATAGGGCACGAAATTGAAGACCTTTCTCAATACTTGCGCCGCGACTGCTTGGAGCTGACAGGCATTTTACCAACCGAAGAAGTATATTGTTTTGACCTTGTTTGTTCTATTGGGAAGGAAATGGGTATCGAGCTGCAAGATGAAGACATCTCCACGGCCCACCGTTTACCCACTTACAATAAAAGTGCAGAAGACAAGATTATCATCAAGTTTACGCGTCGCAGTATTCGGGACGAGTTTTACGGAAAGAGGAAAACAATCGCCGGCAAAGAAGTTGGTAAAGTTGGCACTCTACGGGATCTTTCTCAAGACCCAAAGAAGAAATTATATA